ATACAACGACACAGCAATTTTGACTTCTATTAAACTGAAAGAGGATACCACTATTTAAAGGTACATGGCATAGTATAAAGATGAAATAATGTGGAATAATGAAATAATATATTTCCATAAAACTCACGTGAAATATAAGGAAACAAAATTTTCCATGTAAAAATAAGGAAATAATTTATTTCCAAAAAAAAATCCACTTTAATTTGGGTCAAAAACCCAACACTTCGAAATTTTTTTCCAAGATCTATGTTGAAAAATATACTGCGTGTAGTAAAGATATTATGATGCTCAAATTAGTCAAAACTAGTTTAGATTAAGTGTCACAAAACTATTTGAATAATAGTCTTCAATAAATCACATCCGAACGAAAGTAGACATCAACTTAATAGAAGAACCAAAAGAATACAAAGTCTTGATAGTGTTTGATATTAATGCCTTCTAAGGAATTCAGTTCCATGAAGATACAAACTAGAGAAAATTCTTGGTGTTGATAGTTGAAGACTAAGTCAATCAAACCATCAATAGGAGAAATGTGAAAATTAATGATATATGAAATGGAAAGCAACTTTGTTGAAAATAATAAATTACAGCGAATATTTATATAGATGTAGTAATGAATCTAATGGGATCATGAAAAATATCCACGTCAATGATCTATAATTTGTTGGGTTTGTGGCTTAAACTATACTCGATGTCTCGTATGTAGATTAGTTCTAGGGGAGAGAATGAGATATTGACACCAATTTTACACCATTGGTTTTACATTACTCCAGCATTTCGCTAGGTCCTGGAATTATAAGCCTTAAAGGAATTGGGTATATATAAAAGAATTTATTTATTTATTTATATATTTATTTTTTTGGGTTTGGCAAACAATTGTGTTTTGGGCATATGTATCCGTGTATTTTGCTTCAATTTATTCATGAGAAATTATAAATATTATAGAGGATGGAGAAAACGTGAGGCATGCATTTGATCCCTTCTAACATGTTTGGGGTCTAGTTGGGATTTATAGATTACTTCAATCTCAATAATTCTCTCTTTTTGACAACTCCACCGAAAAAAATTCAAGATATAACGTTACTCGAAAGAGAGCCTAATTCTCAACAAAATAAAATAATGCGCTCAACAATTAAAATATACTTAATGAAACTCTAATATTACTAATAATTAAGGTACTTTGTCATGAGGATCAATGTAACTCGAAGGTAAGCCTGTAACTGTTTCATGATTTCTCTCGATGGAACTCTGAACCGATATAATATAATTCACATATAACCACAAAATAGGAAAGACGTGAAAAATTCATTTATAGCACTGAGCATCTCACATCAAATTTAAAAATATAGTTACTTGATTAATAAATTCGAAATCACTAAACCTATTTGTAATAGTCCAAAACCTTTAAAAATATCTATACATTTGCTTTTGCAAATCATTGTGATTTGTGCGTATGTACACGTGAATTTTGCTTCGATTGTAAGTAGGAGTAGCGAGAAAATAAGAAATTAGGAGGCTAAAGACTGATAAATTGGGGAGAGAGAAAACGTGAGGCGTGGAAAGTGTCGATGCATGGGATTATTCTCAACATGTTTTGGGTTTAATCAAATCTAAATAATTTCTCTTTCTGACCAAAGACCAAAATTACTTTGGATTGGCTTTGACTTGATTCGTTCATTTTTATCCAAAATAATTTTTTTTTTCGAAATTATAATACACCATTTAATACAAGCTTCAAAACGAGTCCAATATTAATATGATAGTAATTTGGTCGAATTTGAAAATTAATATTATCAATGAAGTAGTTTACTTTAATTGGCTCTAACTCGTATTTGATTTATCTAAATTAATTTTTTTTGAGTCCATAATTCGACATTTAATGTGAGCTTAGAAATGAGCCCAAAATTGGTAGGGTAATTATCGCTCCGTTAATACTTCATTATTTGAACCAACTTAATTAAATGTTAGCCTCAAAACTTATTTTCAACTTAATCCCTTAACTTTTCAAAATTATCAAAAATTGTCCAAATCAAAATCCTTAGCGTCTGGTGATCCTTCTCAACACCAAATAATCTTCACTTGTCACATTTTCATCCATTCACTCTCTCTCATTTACCCACCAATAAAAAATGAACAAGTATAATATTTTTAGGTTGAAAATTAAATCAATCAAATACATTTAATTAACAATTTTCATGCAGTTTATTTTCGTTCCATACAAATTCTATACTTGCAAACAAAAGCACCCTTAAAATCATGATTCTTAAAATTTCCCCATAATTTTCACTTAGTCATGTTAATAGAATCAAAATCTTCTTAAGTTGCCATATATTCTACGTATCGTATTTGTAAAATTTCGGGGTTTTAACAATATACCTCTTACTCATTGTATTTCTTGCCAATTACTTCATAATGATGTAGAAGTGGATGATTATTGTAACTCTAACTCATTGTATTTCTTGCCAATTACTTCATAATGATGTAGAAGTGGATGATATGTGAGAGAATTAATAAACGGCTCAAGGTATTCAAGACATCAATTATTTTCTTTTTTCATGATTAATTTTGTGCTGGGGTTTTAGAAACTGTTTTTTGTGCATAGGCTTTCATTATTTTCTCAGAGAAATTAGAAACTCTGTACATACTCATGTTCACCATATACAAGAAATTGTATTTTCTTGGAGAAATTGCTTTATCCTTTTTCGCCTTGTACTTTTCCTTTCATTTCATTTTAATGATCCACATATGTTGGAAATTATTTCACTAAAAAGCATCTCCTCCTTGTTGTGTGAAGCTGTGTAGTCAGGATGAATTCTTATGGGCGTTGGCTTGTGTTCTCAAATTTCAGCTTATAAGCCACTTTATTTTGTAACTTTGACTGTCATAAACATAAAAATGAAGCCTTATTTTTATTCCATAGGATGTGTTATGATCAATGTAGTTGCAACGAAATTGCATTGAATATACATATAGCAAAGAAAAAGATGATGCGACAAATATGCATGCAAGTCAATGAAACAAATTGAAAGAAAGAAAAAGGAAGCCTCATTTTTCTATTTGATATTTATATTTGATCAACAATTACGTTGGCTTAAATTACACGGCGAAACTCGAAAGGCTAGAGTGCAAATTGTTATCAACAGTTTTTGGATTTGAATCTGTGATGAGAAAGTAGACAGCTATCACATGAATCGCCATCATCTTTTAGATATTCATTTTAAGACGAATGTTACAAAATACCGTATTTTATTGGGTTTAATGTTTTGCCCTTTTGTGGTTGATATTAATGCCTTCTAAGGGATTCTGTTCCAGGAAGATACGAAGGAGAGAAAATTTTTGGAGTTGATAGTTGAAGATAACCTAATAGAAAACTAAGTCAATAAAAACATCAAGAAAAATGTGTCGAAATTAATGATATATGAAAAGGAAAGCTACTTAATTGCAAAGAATAAATTGCAGCGAATATTTATTTAATATCTGCATCCATGTCGTTGACCAATAACTTGTTGGACTCATGATTTAAATTCTACGCAATGTCTCATTAGTAGACTAGTTGTAGGGGAGAGAATGAGATATTTTCTTCAAATAATTTTCTACTCTTAAATATGAAGAAAATTTGAGACTGCATATTTGATATTTACATCAATTTTACACCAGTATTGGTTATAAAAAACTTAGCAATTCCATACATGCTGGAATTATGAGCCTTGGTGGAATTAGGATATGTGACAGATTTATATAGAATTTTTGCTTCTG